TGGTGTATCTTTGGCTATGTGTATTTTCACCAAAAAAATGTTGAGAAGTTAGAGGGTTGACATGCTGTGGGGTTGTTAACCAATGTCATAAACAATACGTGTACTACTGTTTCATGAGAAACTATTTGTTCTGTAAGCCTCCACCTGAAGTACAATTAAAAAATACAATAGTAAAAAAAAAGTGTATAACTTTCACCCCCCCCAAAAGAAAAATATGAACATGGACCTGAATGCCCTTGAACCAGTGGTGACTGTTCCAGTCTACCATAGACTCACCACTCCCTGGTACCTCCCATCTGTTGTCATTAATTTAGGGCCCCTGGGTATGAATTGGAATCGACTTGATGGTAGTTGGTTTTGGGTAATGCAAACAGTTAATGTGCTCACATGCTAACAGAAAGGTTGAAGGTTCAAATCCACCCAGAGGCACCTCAGAAGAAAGGCCTCGTGACTGATCTACTTCTGAAAAATCAGCCACTGAAAACCCTGTGGAGCTCAGTTCTACTCTGACACACGCCAGGTCACCACGAGTTGGAGTTGACTCAATCGCAACTGGCTGTTTTTTTTTTTTTTGTCTGATGCCCAAGGGTGCTTGCTGGGTTGGTAACCTCTGTTCTAAATCAAAGTTCATGAGTTTTAGAAGGAATGAGCTTATGATACTGCTGACCACACAGAACAGTGTCAGACACAAAAAACAGTGGTGAATGAATGAATGAAGAGAAGAGCAATGGGATTCAAGAAAGCAAACTTGGAAAGAATTTCCATGATAGCTGCTTTAAAGAGGAGCCCACAATATGTACAGTGTGTTTGAGCTTTGTCGATCAAAATGGAACCAATTTAGAGTTTTCATTTACTTTTTACGCTTGATGAAAATACTCAAAACCAAGCAAAGCCCATTCCCACCAACACGCCTACCCCATTGAAACCCAGAGTGCTCAGCCCAGAGGGGACCAGGTCCATGTGGCACCAGAGTTGGCACTTAGACTCCTTCCTCCATTTCCATCCCCCACGTGACGACAAAGAAGAGCAAACACTCACGCCATGAGGAAGATGCCGCCGGTGTTGGAGACACAGCCCCTGCTGGTGGGAGTGGCGTTTTTGTCATAGCCACAAGTGCCACACAGTAACCCCAGGTAATAAAAAATCACAATGAGAGTCAGCAAGCAGCAGACAGCCAAGCAGCCCAGCCACCTGGTGAAGCAAGCACAGTGTTATTATGCATATGGGAGGTGACATCATCCTAACACAAACAACTGTTGGCCTAAGGCTGGAGCAATTCAGTAATACATGGCCATCTAGTATCAGATTTTTCAATGGGTTCCTTAGAGGGTGATGCTGTTATGAAAAGATCTCTTCCCATCCCTAGACGCCCCAACTCAACCGCATCGAGAAGCTTATTTTTGAATCCCTGGTGGCACAGATGGTTAAGCGCTTGACTACCAGCCGAAAGGTTGGCGGTTCAAACCCACAATCCACTTCTGAAAGGCCACAGCCCTGAAAAGCTTATTGGGCACTACTCTGCGCACATGGGATCGCCACGAGTCAGAATCAACTTGACGGCAACAAGCAACAACAACATGGGTTTAGGAAGCCTTAGGCATACTCATCTCAACCCTGCCTTATATGTGGATAACCTTAAACAGATTATAAAGAGAAATGTATTTTTATTTTAGCTGTGAAGCACCCCTCTCAATGATCATGGGTTTAATGGCTTCCTTCTGTAACCCTGTGGGGCAGTTCTACTCTGTCCTATAGGGTCGCTATGAGTCAGAACTGACTCGACGGCAATGGGTTTTTTTTTCTGTTCCCTTTACTTCCAAAGTTATTAATGGGCATCATGAACAATGTTTACTCAACTTCTCCAAGGCTACTGATAAAAACACCCCTCAAGAATTTTAAGTTCTTTCAAAGTTCCCAACGCTGTAAGTACTTATTATGATGATGAGATGTGAATACATCATGACTAGAATACAGATCAAGAAATATCGAGATCTTCTTCCCGGACTTTATCTGAAATATTCTGTGATTGCAGAAATATTTGGGGACATCGTGTTCTTTACTGCACCAGAAGCACTCTAAGTGGTGGATGCACTGACTATTTAGAATTTTACAAGCATCCTAAATCAAATGCCAGCAGAATGCAAATTTCAATTTTGTAATGGGGCTATAAGCCTGGCAAGACATTTTAGGACAGTGGATCCTCAATTAGCCTAACTGGCATTCCTGCAATGTATGCCAACCTTTCCCATCAGCTGAGGAGCATTCAAAGGGAGAAATGCTTCCTAACATTTGAAAACACCAAAAAACAAAGAATTCACTTCTGCTCAGTGCCTCTCAACAAAGTCACCATTAAAGTCTTTCATTCAATTAAGAGTAATCTTGATAATTACAGTAATAGCCACCAGCATCCATTCCGTGGAGGTTTGTTCCAGATAATGGGGACATAGAATTAAATAACTCATATGGAGCCTGGCCTCTAAAAGCTTTTAGAGTTAATAAGAATTTCATCTGCTCAGCTATATTTCTTTTACAAATAAGCTTATAGTGTTGGGCCAGGGAGAGGTGGGCAGGGTGTGGCGGACATGTAGGCAGATAATTGTGACTTTCTCTCTCACTTGTGAAACTCTGATCTCTAAGGAGATTAAGCTCATCAAGAAAGGGTCTGTCTTATGTTTGTCCCGATACCCACTAAGGAACATGGCTGGAGTCCCTTGAGGCTTGCTGATAACAGGGCAACAATTATGAGCATGGTCAGATGGGGGTGGAAAGGGTATGAAAACCTACCTCAGCCATGTTCTAGCTGATCTTAAGTAAGTTACTTCACTTCCCTGAGCCTCAATGTCCTTGTCTATAACCGGGTATAAGGATACACAGTGTCCCTGGGTAGTGCAAATGGTTAACACACTTGGCTGCTAACCAAACGGTTGGCAGTTCAAGTCCACCTAGAAGAACCTTGGAAGAAAGGTCTGGCAATCTACTTCTGAAAAATCAGCCATTGAAAACCCTGTGGAGGACAGTTCTACTCTGACACATATGGGGTCACCATGAATTGGCGTTGACTCGTGGCAAGTTGTTTAAAGGGTACACAAACCAAAAACCAAACCAGTTGTCACTGAGCTGATTCTGACTTATGGCAACCCCGTGTGCAGAGTAGAACTGCTCCATAGGGTTTTCAAGGCTGTGACCTTTCAGAAGCAGATCGTCAGCCCTGTATTCCAAAGCACCTCTGAGTGGGTTCGAACCACCAATCTTTCAGTTAGTAGTCAAGCACTTAACCATTTGTACTACTCACTAAAAAAAAAAAGAACAAACCCATTGCCACCGATTTCATTCCGATTCATAGCAACCCTATATGACAGAGTAGAACTGCCCTATAGGGCTTCCGAGGCTGTGATCTTTAAGGAAGTAGACCGCCACCTCTTTCTCCCATTGAGTGGCTGGTGGGTTTGAACTGCTGACCTTGGGGTTAGCAGCCAAGTGTTTAACCACTGCGCCACCAGGGCTCCTTTTGTATCACCCAGGGACTCAAAAATAGTATTAAATGCTACACAGCTCAGAGGATTTTTCTGAGTATGAAGTAAAGCACTTGGTAGGCACACAATAACTGTTCTACAAATGTTAGCAACCACTGTTATTATTTTGTTTGTCTATGCTCTTGCATCATAAAGAACCTGAATAGGAATGAGTATCTTTGGACTCTCAACAGGCTTGGGCAGTAAGAATGGTTCCAGTGGCACATCATAGGGCTGAACCTTTCAAAGAACATGCATCTTACATCTCACGTGGTCCTCTAAATTTCTCAAGTCCCGAGTCCTTCCCGCCCCAGCCCTCTGTCTGAGCCATCCACCCTCATTTACCACGGCCAACCCCCACCACGAGCATTCTCTAATGGGCAAACAACCCCTGAACTGAGCTCTTTGGGCAATTTACTAGTGGCAAGGCATGGCTTAGAAGAGAAGGTTCTTTTGGTAAGAACCAATCTCCATGTATTTATTTTATAACCAATAATAATTTTTAAAAAAAGAATATTTTCCAAATGCCCTTTTTAATTACTTTTAAGATTTAAAATCATGCTACATGCCTGGCTTGATAATTATAACTAAGATTGTAGGAGCCACTGACATCAAAATTGCAAATTATTGAATATTTGGCTCAAGAATGGCTAGTCTTCAACCTTTTTAATGAACATAAACTAGGGTTAAAAGATGTCAAGCATGGCCTCTTTGCACAACTTGCACCCATAAGATAATCCTGGTGATAACATCAAATGTTTATCCCAAACCAGCCCAAGGCTCCCATTCCTAGTTTACCGACTCCAAGTCGACACTCACCTGTATGATTCATATTCTTCCAATGTGAGCAAACCCTGGTTGACAGACTTTTCAGTATCATTAATATAACCCTTGAAATCTGATAATTTATCCTGAATAGGGAACTGATTGGTTACATCTGAGATTTTTGAACCGATGGAATCCAAGACACTTTTGACATCTGAAAACAAAGGTATCTTGGTTATGCATTTTCAAACCTGGAGAAAACAGAAACTCTGTTTTGGAACCAAACTGAAAAGATTGAACCCCTTTCAGCTTTTCCCATGTTATGTACGTACTCAAAATATGATAAGGTTCCACAGCAAGCAGGAATGGAGCCAAAGCCATCAAAAAGCAATGACTTAACAACACAGCAAGCTGTGAGCACTGACTGGATGATGCGGGGCTGAAGTCAAGCCAGAGTTTTCTTTCTGTACTTACATCACTAAGAAACTAGGTCAGGTAATTAAAATATGCAGTGTGCCTACCATGTGCCAAGGCTTTTATAAATGTTAACTCATTTATTCTGCTGAGGTAGACATTCTTATTCCCATTTTACTAACAGTAACCCCGAGGCTACTCTCACTTGCCTGTGAGTTTCTTTTGTAGAAAGTACAGGTAGTGCCTGACTTACGAAGTATTTGAGTTACGATGATCTGCGCTTACCAATGTCCCCTTTTTTTTTTTTTATGGAACACCTTATTGTTAGTAATATGTACTACATACAATGTTGCAGCGCATATCTGCTGATGTTATCATTCTCAGATGTTCATTCACAGGTGTTTATATGTAATGTTTCCAACTCCCAAAGACAAATAAAGATTGGATTTATAAAGATACTGATAATAAAAGGCAATAATAATGAAAACTAAAAAAATGAGGTACTCAACTTACATCAGAACCAAATTATGACGGAGTCGTCAGAAAGAAATCCTATTGTAAGTAAGGGACTACTTGTGCTAGAGATGGGATTGAAACTCAGGTTTGTCTAATTCTAAAGTCTCTGTTAGATGATTCTAGAAAAATAATTTAAAAATAAAAATAATAATTCCTTCATCTGAGAAATGACATTTAGGAACACAGTAGTTCTACAGGACCTTTTTTTGAACAAGTGACATACGGTGATAGCTTTCTTAAAATTTTATTTGCCTCATGCAAATTGAAACTTGAAGAAGTACATCCATGTTTTTTATATGCAAGAAGCAACAGTATTACCAGTGGCCAAAGAGTTTCTTTTTAATATCCATCTTAATTTCTCAGAAAGGAGATAAGTTCAAAGAAACATCAGTTTTCTAGAAAGTGCCTGTCCACCACGGCAGGTCCTGGGATCCAAGCTGCCTGGGGTTCGAGGTGTCACCTGGTCTAGTGCTCACAGAAGGTCGGAGATTGGCTTTATCGATAATGATTCCAACCACAGGTATACTGAGAATGTACTAATCAGTTGAAAGATCACTGATGCTGGAAGAGAGAGAAATCTCTTTGCAACAACAGAGATAAGATCAGCAATCCTCAAAATGTGATCCCAGGACTCCTGGTGGACTTCAAGTAGATGGTAGCCTGGTCTAAAATATAATTACATAAAAATGGGGGGGGCGTCTATTTAAAGGTCTGTTTTCCACATAGATATGAAATCTAGACACCAAGGCACAGAAATGAGCACCTGAGAGCCGGGTGCTTGAATGTGGTTTGTAAGAAGGTTGTTACTACATGGAGGCACGTTGCCTCCTCGAAGTATCTTGTGGGCCAAAATACCCAAAGATCCTTGACTAGGATGATTCTGTGGCCTTCTTTTTTTAACTCTGGGATTTCTGGGATTTTGTGAGATGTGCTATGTAGCCTCCTATCTCATGTGAACAGTTCCCTAAACACATAATTGGGCCCCGTCTGCTCCTCGGGCGGTCATGCTCTGCACACACACCACAGCTCCCAGGCCAGGCGAGCTTTGGTGACTCTGCATGTGAGTCTTGCTGCCCTCTCTCAGCAAACACCTTCTTCAAGCCTCAGTTTCAATGTCGCCTCCTCCGGGAAGCCCTCTACTACCCTCTCCCCACCTCGGCTCCCTAGCATACACTTCATCATGTCAACAGACTGTGATCAATGGTGTTTCATATATGCCTAGCTGAAGGGCAGGCACAGTCAAACCTTATTCATCTTGCATCCCCAGAACCTAGCAGAGACTGGCACACAGTAGGCACACAAAAAACGTGATGAATGAGCAAATGATCCAAACACTGGAGATAAGGTTTGTTATTTGTTTTGGAAGGACATGAAAATAAGCAATTGAAATCAGGCTGATGGGGTGCACCCATCTGTACCTGGGAAAACTCTGGCTTGTGTTTAGGCAATGTCACCGTGTGCAGCCGGCCTCGTCACTCATGCTGGGTGCTTTGCGGTGCCTGACTTACAAGGAAGGGCTGCACATATTGGCAGAAGAGGTCCAGAAAGGGGGAACAAAATTGAACACGGAGGTTAGTAAGCATGTGGCTATCAGACACACAGCATGCATAGCCTGCAGATTCTAGCACAGGAAAGCCTGAACGTTGCCTTGAATATCTTAGTATTTTAAAGTATAATCTTACAATAAACAAAAGGGAACCAATAAAATATCTACAGCACATGTTGTAGGATAAAATACTTTTTACCCAAAGTCTTGGTGGGTTGAAAGAACGCCATTAGGAAAAAAAAAAATCAAATACCTCTAACACAATATTTTAAAATTACTTGGTCAGCAGGTTTAAAGAAGTATTGAGAAAATGATTAAAAAAGAAGAAAGTTGTACATGGCTTCATAGATTTCTTCCCCAAGCAAATATCCCAGGCTCATCTCCAGTCCTACACAAAAAAGTGCTGATCCTGCATTCTCTCTTTTTGCCTTCACCCTAAATACCAGGACGTTAAACAGCGTGATTCAGTAACATAAGACCAGTAGAATTCATTCAGCGTTGATTCTGTTGCTGCAGAACTGTAAACAGTCTTATAAGCCTAAGATACCATTACATCAGCATTAGAGGACAGATAGAATTTTTCCTAAAAAGACAAAATAAATCTTTATACATAGTACTCCTAAAAACAGAAATCAACTTCAAGTTCTTTTCGAAAATATAATAATCTGCAGGCTTTTTCCCTAGCGAGAGCAATCTGAAATCGACTTTCCAAAGGATGGCAGTTGTAAGCTCTGTCATATCCCACCCCGCAGGCTCATCATAGCAAATCGCCCTAACCACACATCGCCTGGCTGGAGGGACAGTGTTAACGAGTGTTAAAATAAGAAGATTAATTTTTTTTTTATCTGGGTCACTGATTGAAGATGACAACATTTAAAAGCTCTGCTATTTTTTTAGTGTTTGAGTGGAGAGAATACTTTTTAAGACAATAACATTTCAAACCATACATCATTTCTGACCACACAATTCTTATCGAATAGATAGAAAATTACTCAAACTATGAATCTCACCTGATATGATATTCTTGGTTTGGTTTTGCACCATCTCAGGTATGTCATTAAAGGATTTATAGCCCTAAAAAATATTTTAAAATAAATTGATGTACACAGTAAGTAGAAGAACAGTTAACTAGTACTCATTTTCAGCTTAGTATGGAATTGTCGTTTCTATTGTTGGCTGCCGTTGCGTTGGCCCCGACTCAACAGCAACCCCGTGCATAACAGGATCAAATTGTTATGGTCCACAGGGTTTTCCTTGGCTGATTTTCAGAAGTAGATCACCAGGCCTTTCTTCCTAGTCTGTCTGGAAGCTCCACTGAAACCTGTTCAGTATCATAGCAATATGCAAGGCTCCACAGACAGGTGGGTACTGGCTGCCCTTGAGGTGCATTGGCGAGGAATCGAACCCAGTTCTCCCAGACGGAAGGTAAGAATTCTACCACCGAGCCGCCACTGCCCCCTAGTATGGAGTAGAGACGCAAAATAAAAATATAACACTCATCTTAAAGCTGAAATTATCAGTCTATGGTCATCAAGAATCTAAAAATATTCCCCTTTAGGGAGAATCTTCTTTGAATTATCATATCCACCAAAGATTATGTTAAAAGTCTTTTCATACAGGATGTCTCAATAACTTTAAAACCTTAACGTATTTACTCATACAGGTCCAAAGAATTATGATGTATAGATATAACTATACCAGTGGTTCTCAACTGGGGGTGATTTTCTCCTCAAGGAGAATGTCTGGAGAGTACTGCTGGCATCTATTGGGGTACAAGCCAGGGCTGCTAAGAAGTATGCTACAATGAACAGAACAACCCCCACAACAAAGAACAATTTGACCCGAAGTGCCAATAGTGGCAGGGTTAAGAAACCGTGGTCTGTACAATATGTCATGTGCAAATATAAAGTGAATTTCTACAAACAGAATCTTATTTTTCAACACAATTACAAAATGAAATTGGAGATCTAGTCTCACAGAAAAAAAAAAAAAAGACCCAAAAAGCAGCTGACACAGAATACAAATGCAGTGAAGCTAAAACAAAGACAAAAATAGCCAAGTGAAGCTATATCACTTTCGGATTAAATCCATGAGAGGGAAATGCCATTATTTCTAGATAACTACAGGCCCAGCCCTTCCTCTGGAAGGCGCTTAGTCCGTGTTTATTGTTCTTTGCTGTATTTAGCAGTCTGCTAGGAAGCACTGCGGTGCTTATAATCCATCTAGGATGTGTGGTCCCAGCTAGTTTCCCTTTTAACCTAAAAGCATCAGGTACCATAAAATGAATGTCACAACTTCTGTTTCCTCAAAGGTGACTGAACCATCCCAGCACACTAGTGTTTGAGTTGGTTTTCTATCTGCCTGACCCTCTATACTTATCTGCAATTGACTTGCTGAGATCACCCAGCTTACAGATTTAATTCTTGGCCAAAGCACCTCAAGCACAGCCACCACCCGTCTGCTAGTGAAAGCTTGCATGTTGCTATGATGCTGAACAGGTTTCAATGGAGCTTCCAGACTAAGGCAGACTAGGAAGAAAGGCCTTGCTATCTACTTCTGAAAATCACAAATGAAAACCCTATGGATCACAATGGTCTGATCTGCAACCCATCATGGAGATGGTGCGGGACTGGGCAGTGCTTCATGCATGAGGTTACTATGAGCTGGGGGCTGACTCGACAGCAGCTAACAGCAACAGCTAAGCAAAGGAGGAGGAGAGAGAAGAGAGTGACAGGCAGAAGACACACATGTGCACATGGCAGAAGTGGGAAGAAACCGAAGGAAAACCATTGTGGCAGACTCTGGACAGAGCAATAGAGTATCTTGCATAAGAGTCTGTTATGGACTGAATTGTGTACCCCCAAAATATGTGTTATAAATCCTAAACCACTATACCTGTGGATGTAATCCCATTTGAGAATAGGACCTTCTTGGTTATGTTAATAAGACCATATCAGTATAGGGTGTGTTTTAAGCCAATCACTTCTGAGACATAAAAAAACAGATTAGGCACAAAGAAAGAAGCACAAATGGAGGGGAAGATGCAGGCCACATGAAGATCCCAGGAACAGAAGCTGAAAAGAGACAAGGACCTTCCCCCAGAGCTGACAGAGAGAAAGCCTTCCCCTAGAGTCAGTGCCCTGAATTCTGACTTCTGGCCTCTTAAACTGTGAGAAAATACAGTTCTGTTGCTTAAAGCCACCCACCGAGTGCTATTAAAGCAGCACTAGCAAACTGAGACAAAGTCATTACGGATTACGGAACAACTCCCAATAAAATTTTAGCCCCAGCAAGGCAGAGATTGTGGTTTTCTTTTTCTCTTTCATGGTCCTAGCATGGTGCTTGGCACAAAATAGGTGCTAAATAAAAATTCCTTGGATGGAAATGAGGAACAAAATTACCTGGAAGATAACAGCTCTAACCCTTGTTGGTGACCCTTCTCCAGAATTTCACCGCTTTTTTGGTTTCTTATTTTCTAAGCACGTCTACTGTATTTTTCCCAAAAACATACCTGTTCAACCAGGTCAGTCAAATTTGTTCTAAGAATGTTGTTAACACTGTTAAGTTGATCATGCACAGGTGGGAGCTGAAAAGTTATAAAACAAAATATAAGGCAAGGAGGGCACCCTCAAAATCATTCCTCATAAATTCCTCAAATAGTCAAGTCTCAAAATCTCAATTTCATTTCGAATAATAGAATATTGTTTGGGGAAAAGGTCATCTCAAAAATGACCTTTAGAAGTGCTAGTTTTAGATGTTTGGAGGTCTTCTGGTGGAATCAGCTAAAAATGAGGCAAAGAAATTTAACAAAAATTTATTATGTGTGACCTCACAATTTCAAGTACTGGATATAGCTGCAAACAAGCCTTTTCAAAATCACTTTTAAAAGTAATACAGTCAGTAGTTATGTTGGTGAGTGGTTTGGAATAAATTTTTCATTTAAAGCATCACAGATGGATTTAACTGCATTGGAAAAATCTGCTGCAAAAGCCGTCTTTGAAGTATTGAAAAGCAAAGATGTCCACTTGAAGACTAAGGTGCACCTGACAGAAGCCCTGGTGTTTTCAATTGCCTCATATGCCTGTGAAAGCTGGACAATGAATAAGGAAGACTGAAGAAGAATTGACACCTTTGAATTGTGGTGTTGGCGAAGAATATTGAATATACCATGGACTGCCAAAAGAACGAACAAATCTGTCTTGGAATAAGTACAACCAGAATGCTCCTTAAAAGCAAGGATGGCGAGGCACGTCTCACATACTTTGGACATGTTGTCAAGAGGGATCAGAACCTGGAGAAGGACATCGTGCTTGGTAAAGTAGAGGGTCACTGAAAAAGAGGAAGACCCTCGATGAGACAGATGGACACAGTGGCTGCGACAATGGGCTCAAGCATAGCAACGATTGTGAGGAAGGCGCAGGACTGGGCAGTGTTTTGTTCTGTTGTGCATGGGGTAGCTATGAGTTGAAACCAACTCGACAGCACCTAACAACAACATCTCTTAACTAATATTGGGACAAATATCGCCATGTGTCTCCTGACACTATGTACCGAGAAGGACATGATACCACTACTGTGATATCCTTCACAAATACGCATAACCGACATGTAATCATGATGAGCATTTTATAAAATAAATGGCTTGCAGTCTTCAGAAATGTCAATATTACAGAAGAAAAAGACAGACTGACAAACTGTTCCAGGTTAAAGGGGACTAAAGAGACATGACAGCTGAAGGCAATGTGTGATCCTAGATTGGATCTTTGACTGGGAAAAGAAAAATAGTTGTACAGGACACTATTAGAAAAATTGGCAAAATTTGAATATGAGGTGTGGGTCAATGTTGTATGCCCTGATTTTGATAACTGTGTAATGGCTATGAAAGGTTAGGAATTGCACTGAAATATTTAGGGATAAAGGGGCATGATGTCTGCAACTTATTACCAAATGGTTAAGAAAAGAACAAAATGTATATTATTTTATGCATTTATATTTATACACATAAAATAATATGAATAGATACATGATGGATGGATGGATGGATAAAATGACAAGCAAATGGGCAAAATGCAGACAATTGATGAACCTGGGTGAAGGGAGCAGACAGGGGTTCCTTGTACTAATCTTGCAACTTTTCTGTATGTTTAAAAGGAAATCAAAAAGTTATCCCCAAAGGACTCAATCTGAAACATCTTAAATGCAAGCTCCCATCCTAAGTTGGGATGTCTAAAACTGTCCGATGTCTCCAAAAGTGGTTCTGGTAGATATGCAGATACAGATGTTGAAATGTGAAGTGCTTGAATAAAACTGTCACATGATATGTGAAAGAGAAAAACGTGTACTACATTAGTATATATTTTTATATAAAATGTGATAATGTACATATATAACTAAATTAGTAAATTAAATGTCATGAATAGACATAAAAATTTTAGCTATATCCTCAGACCATTATATAGTCAAGTTGCCCCCATTTTTTTTAAACCTTTTCTTTGGGAAAACAGGGAATTTGCCTTATATTTGGGCATTGTTGTTAGTTGCCATCCGGTCTGCTCCGACTCACGGAGACCTTATGTACAACAGAACCAAGTATTGCCTAGTCCTGTGCTATCTCCATGATTTTTGAAATCTTTGAGCCCATTATGTTGAATATTATAGCCCATCATATACTGAATGTATTAACTTTTAAAAGTATACATAACTGTATTCTGCTTTCTTTTTGCTTTGTAAAGCTGAATTCCTTCTAACGTTTTCCATGAAATTCCAGAGAACTCCCTAGAAGGGATTCACCATTCCACCTCCCCTCCAGCCAAAGCCAGGGCAGAGTTGTGACTCAATGACCTGGAAGGCTGACAGGGACCCGAGGTTATTGCCCTCCAACCCAGGCCATAGTGCTCCTCACAGGTTCACCCACACTCCGCCCTACCAAGCTGTCCTGATGACACCACGGCCTAGCAGGGTCCACATCTCCTCACCTGATCAAGGTTGATGTTAATATCCAGCTGGCCGAGAGACTTTCTGATGTCATTGCAGGTTGCAGTCACCATCTGTTCAGAGCACGTCGAGTCATTGAGCGAGTTCTCCAGCTCGGTCCTGATGTTGCTCAGGCTGGTGTTCAGATGTTCAAACCCACTTTCAAGTTCCTCCAAGGTGTTGTTCACCTTCTCCAGGGCCTCTTTGGTCTCTCTGATGGCTGTAGGGATACAACAGGTACAGAACAAAGGCACTTGCTAGGCTGGCCATAGCAGAAAGTCCCTTCTCATCTACAAACATGGCCTAAAGGAATTTGAGATAAACTTGTAAAGGACACTGGAAAGAACCAGAAAAGCCCACTAGGAGGGGTAGTCTTCGAGGAATACAATACAGCCCTAAACTCCTGGGCAGCTACTCTCACCAACCCAGCTTCCCTCTAGGGTCACTTGCAAGCAAGAAGCAGGGTGTGAGCACCAACCACAGAAATGCGATAAGGTCCCCTTGGAATGACCTTAACAGACCAGCAAAAGAGCAGCAGTGGCCAGAAAAGGCATCATGGCCATAGCATTCCCCAGCCTTGAAGAGGTCAGTCCAGGCAAACTAGTATCTTCAATTCCAAGCAGTTTTAATCAGCAAAAAATTCATTACACCCAGAAATAGTTTAGCTAAGAATATTTGTCTTAGTTATCCAGTGCTGCTGTAACAGAAATACCACAAGTGGATAGCCTCAACAAAGAGAAATTTATTCTCTCACAGTCCAGTAGGTTACAAGTCCAAATTCAGGGAGTCAGCTCCAGGAGAAAGCTTTCTTTGTCAGCTGTGGAGGAAGGTCCTTGTCATCAGTCTTCCCTCAGACTAGGAGCTTCTCCACGCCGGGACCCCAGGTCCAGAGGACACGCTCTGCTCCCGGCACTGCTTTCTTGGTAGCATGAGGTTCCCCTCTTTGCTCGTTTCCCTTTCCTTTTTATCTCTTGAAAGAGAAAAGGTGGTGTGGGCCACACCCCAGGGAAAAATCTCTTTACACTGTATCAGAGATATGACCTGGGTAAGGGTCTTACAATCCCACCCTAACCCTCTATAACATAAAATTACAATCACAAAATGGAGGACAACCACACAATACTGGGAATCATGACCCAGTCAAATTGATACACACATTTCTGGCGGGACATAATTCAATCCATGACAATAGTCAAAGAGCTAGAATTAACTATAGAGCAATAGTTAAGGACACGTTTGAGATTCGGGCAGGTTTTTTAACCCACCCAGTGGCACTGCAGAAGAAAGACCTGATGATCTGCTTCTGTAAAGATTAGTTAAGAAATCCCTTGGAGCTTAGTTCTACTTTGTAACACGTGGTGTCTCAGGCTGGTAATCCAAGATTGGCAGGTAAGACAGTAGACTGCTGGCTCACAGGCTGTGGAGGCCAGTGAATCCCAAGATTGGCAGGCAACATGGCAGGCCAATAACCAGAGGTTAGATAATGACGATCCAGATGCAGGATCCAGAGCAAGCAAGCGAGATTTGCCAGAATGTCTATATATTTCATATATATATTGGATGCAGGCCATATCCCCAAAGAAACTCCCCTTACAACTGATTGGCTGATCACTTCAGATCACATCATGAAGGATGACTACATCATTACATAACTGCCAAATTACATCATTACACGACTGCCAAATTACATTATCACAAAACTTCCAAACTACCTCATTACATAACTGCCAAACCACTGAGAATCATGGCCCAGCCAAGTTGACACACAACCTTAACCATCACACATGGGATCACCATGAGTAGGAACTGACTTGACAGCAACAGGTTTTATATATATACCTATATATAAATGCTTCCCTGTCATGAAATCACAACAAAGGGGCCTCGCCTCTCATCCCAGATTTTCTAGAACGTTGTTATAGCACCTTCAGGAAATTCTTTCACCTTTCAGGATCTCAGTTTTCTCATCTGTAACTTAGGGAGCTCACTGGGTTATCCCCTGGTTACTCTGAGGGTCTGAGATTCTAGGCTATGTCTTAACGGGTTTGTGGGGCTGTTAGCTGCTGTTGAGTTGGCCCCCGATTCATGGTAACACCATGCAAATGGGATGAGACCTTTGTGAATTGTAGGGTTTTCACCAGCTGATTTTTCAGAAGTAGATTGTCAAGCCTTTCTTCCCAGGAGATGGTATCACCCATGTTAACTAGGTCTGATGGGGTAACAACAATCCATGTCATCCAAGATGGCACTGTCACCAGCCTTAAATTATTTACTAAGAGCCCAGGGGAGGCCTGTAGGATTGAACTGCATGACCCTTTGTCCCAATCTATCATCTTAAAAAAAAAAAAAGTTGCCATTGAGCTGATTCCAACTCATGGCAACCCCATGTGTTTCAGAGTAGAACTGAGCTCCATAGGGTTTTCATCGCCTGTGCTCTTTTGGAAGCAGATCACCAGGCTTTTCTTCCAAGGAAGCTTTGGGTGAATTTGAACCACCAACTTTCGGTCAGAAGCTGAGTGCTAACCATTTGCACTACCCAGGGATTTGAATAGAAAATCTCATGACCTGTTTTCAAACAATCTTTAACCTTGAATTTTGGTCCAGTTATATCTCAACAATATTTAGGACTATAATGAATAGTCTTTATCAAACAGCCATTCTGGGTCTCAGTAGCTCATGTCTCCCACCTACCTCCCAAGATTATCAGCAAAGTATAGCCAAGTACCTGGCTCATATTAGAGGCTCAATAAATATCTAACATAGCAAACAGGAAACAAAGAACACGGCTGGAACTAGAAACACACATGCCAAAATACACCTCATATTACAGTCCCACACCTCACATTTTAAGGTTGTGTGGTTTACCTCCAGTAGGCCTTTCCACTTTGACTCAAGAAAGTTATTTTAAAGCCAGAAATAAACAACAACAAATGAAGGATTATAAAGTAAATTGATGACCCAGGAAATGTGCGTGTTTTTAGGGTTACAGGTAATATTCTCAGTCACGTCCCAAAAAGAATTTAGAGGTAATAAAGATATATTTTCCAAAAGCTTCAAAGCATTTTATGTCATGAAATATTTATTGGGTCATAACTCTGGGAGTCACTCCATGCCTACCAAGATCACTTATATTATGCATCTGAAGTAAGCAGGAAAGATATTTCTCAGATTCTCAATTTTAATTATCATTGTACCAGCCCATAGCATAGCTCCTTTATAGGTCCTAACTTGCAGCGCAAATATGATTTACACAAAGGAATTTACACAAAAGAAATTTCCACTGTCTCCAAGAGCCACTAAACACAGAAGTCTGCAAAAAATTTTTAGCAAAACTTTGCTGAAACCGTTTATTAAACAAGTTTTAAGAAGCTCTGGCAACTCCAGAGGCTAAGTTTTAACTTACACAGGCTGACATAAAAAATATATAACTTTAATAATAATACAGGACAGACTAAAGAGAAAAATAAAATCTATTTAAATTGTCTCTTATCCAAACAGAATTATAATTCAAACATTAGAAATTGTTGGAAATTTTGGTGAAAAATAAAGGTACACGCCAACCACACTGCATCATTTATACACTGTTAACACAATCCTTTACCTTTAGAGAACAGATACATAGTTTTGGAGCTGCAAGAGATCTTGCAAGACCAGCATCCCAAATACACTGACTCACAAGGGATCCGGGGTGCAGGGATGCCTGAGATCATCTTGTGGCCACACCAGTTCTTGAATCCCAGTTTCCAAACTCTTCCTTTAAAGTTAGACCATGCTGCTTTCTCGTGGATGGGACAGCACCACCCTGCATCTTAACACCCCTAAATGTACCTGGAATACCATCTAGTATAGTCCAAGTAGCACAGGTTTTATAGTTGGACCAGAGTCTGCAATCCCAACTCCACTACTTACCACCTATCCAATCTTGGACAAGCTACATTATCTCTTACAAACCAAACTAAACCTGTTGCTGTCGAGTCGATTCTGACTCATAGTCACACTATAGGACAGAGTAGAACTGCCCCATAGGGCTTCCAAGAAGCGGCTGATGGATTCGAACTGCTGACCTTTTGGTTAGCAGCTGAGCTCTTAAGCATTGCGCCACCAATGCCCCCATTATCTTAGCCCCATTCAAAATGAAAGGAGACACTGCCCGGTCCTGCACCATCCCTATGATCAGTTACTATTGGATTGTTGTGATCCCCAGGGTTTTCACTGGCTGATTTTCAGAAGTAAATCCCCAGGCCTTTCTTCCTAGTCCGTCTTAGTCTGGGAGCTCCACTGAAAACTGTTCGGCATCACAGCAACGCAGAAGCCTCCTCTGACAAATGGGTGGTGGCTGTACATGAAGTGCATTGGCTGGTAATCAAACCCAGATCTTCCACACGGAAGATGAGAATTCTACCACTGAACCACCAATGCCCTCAAAGCATAGAGGAATCCCCCAGAACCACAGCTCATGCCTTTTCCAGGCCCGCCTAGGGAACGTGAAGTTAGTTGTGAGTTCTCATCACTTCCTCTCATACCATGCTCCCTGGGCCGCCAGCAACAGCATCATCTCCAACACACTAGAAATGTAAGTTCTCAGGCCAATCCCAGCCCTCGTGAATCATAAACTGTGGGTGAGGCCAGCAGGCTGTGTTCTAACAAGCCCTCTAGGCAAATCTGACGCGCTTCAGTGTGAGAAGCGCTGGTCTTCCCCAGCAATTGTGCAGCTTCATTCCTTGTCTGACACCGGCTCAGGTGTTGGCTGACACCACTGAGGTCAAGGCTGCTGCCACTTTTGGGCGTGGTTTTACCCTCTGATATAAAAAGACACAGCAGGCAGTGCTGCTCTTCTTCATGTTGCATATATGCACATCACACACACCTGGAGCCACCCAGCCATCGTGACCACACTGCTGCCCTAAGTACAGCAGAGAGGGAGATGAAAACAAGGGGCTCCTTGACAACGCTGCTCAACCCCTCAATTAACTAACCTTGGAGCTGCCTTCCCACCAAATATCTTCTCATGTGTGGTAATACGTTTCCTATTGTTTAAGCCATTTGAAGGATCAATGGCATGGATATCACATCAGTGTCACCTTCAAATGACCTCTAATTATAGCTTATAAAACGTGTCTCCAAAATGCCCAAAACAAATGAAAATAATTTTATTCTCATTTATAGATAGGCAGGGAGGGAGGAAGGGAGGAAGGAATGAAATAGAAAGCTTCATGGTGGCTAGGACAGGAAGGCAAGAGACATGGGACTTTGTAATGGCATCCCTTCTCAGGGCTTCACTTTCCTTGGCTGGAAAGGAAATGGTTGGTGATATGGAGAACGGATGTATGGAGACATTTGAGGCATCAACAGCAGAGGACACACCTTCAGGCTGCAGTGGACCCTTTGCAAGGTGAAGGAGGACAGGGGAAGTGCCTTTCAACACACCATCTTCACAACCCCGACCTATTCTGCACATCATCCTGTTTCGGAACACTGGTTTGAATCACTGAGTTGCAAGGAGGAAAGAGCACCAAAAGGAATGGACGTAATTTTCTAACTTCCCCCAGTTCACTCCTTTATGGAATTGAAGGACCAGTCGACAGCATCTAACAACAACAACATGGTACTGAATGAATAAGGAAGAACAAAGAATTGATGCCTTTGAATTATGGTGTTGGTGAAGAATACTGAATATACCATTGACTGCCAAAAGAATGAACAAGTCTGTCTTGGAAGAAGGACAGCCACAGTGCTCCTTGGAAGCAAGGATGGTGATACGTGACTCACGTACTTTGGACATGTTGTCAGGAGGGACCAGTCCCTGGAGAAGGACATTTTGCTTGGTAAAGCAGAAGGTCAGAGAAAAAGAGTAAGACCCTCTACAAGATGGACTGACACAGTGGCTGCAACAATGGGCTCAAACATAGCAATGATTGTGAGGATGGCAGAGGACCAGGCAGCATTTTGTTCTGTTGTACATGGGGTCACTATGAGTTGGAACTGACTCGATGGCACCTAACAACAACAACATGGTCTATTTTAGCAGGAATAGTAGCTCATGAAAGTAAAATTCAAACTGGCAAAACCACAAGTATCTAACATAGATGAAACTGGCCTCCATCAAGTACTCCAGCACAGACATTTTCTCAACTTTTGGAAAGGCCTAGAAGGTCTTTTTTCATTGCTGTTGAAAATGAAATTTATTAAAATCTGCTCACTTATACCATTTTCTGTGGCTGGCTTAAGATCTATATGTATATTCCTAATTTCTAAAAGTTGTTTTTCCAAGGGGAAGAGGAAAGAGTAATCAATAAACTTCTATAGCCCTAATAGTACCTATATCTATATGGTACTCATCTTCTATAATGGAGTCAACAAACTTTTTCTATAAAGGGCTACCCATTGCCGTTGAGTCGATTCTGACTCATAGAGACCCTATAGGACAGAGTAGAACTGCCCCATAGGGTTTCCAAGGAGTGGCTGGTAGATTCAAACTGCTGACCTTTTGGTTAGCAGCCGAGCTCTCAACCACTGTGCCACCAGTGATTCATAAAGGGCTAGATAATAAATGTTTTAGGTCTTGCAGGTCATATGGTCTCTGCTGGAACCACTCAACACTGCCATCATAGAGTGAAAGCAGCCATAGATGATACCCAAACAAACAAGCATGGTTGAGTTCCAATAAAATTTTATTTACAAAAACAGGTGGTGGCTTCCTCTCAAATTCTGCCGCTATTATTCCAAATCACTTTTGGACCATGAGTACACGACCTCTGGCACAAGCTTTAAAGAAAAATATTGTGACAGTGTTTTCATGACCTGTGTACATGGTCACACACTGTGGCTCTCACCTCACCTAACTCTCAGGAAAAACAAGAAATGGGGGGGTGAACTCACGAAGTCCAGGGCCTTCTGGGTGGGAACTTTCTCTTGGTGATTTCTTTCACACTGCTTACCTGTTGCCATGGCCTTGATGTCATCAAGGACAGGGATCACCTTAGGTCTTAGTTGATCACGAATTCCATCTCCTAGCAATGGTTTAACATCTAGATTCAAAGAAGCATAGAGTAAAAGACCATGAGGGGAGGTTCCATTTATTTCTTCACCTCTTAGCACTCATTTGCTTCACACTACAGGATTTCACTGCCTGAGAACTATTTTTGTCTCTCCTGCTGTGAAACCCCATTTCTCATTTTAGATCCAGTGTAAGTGTTGACTTTTGAATGGAGATTTCTCCACGCTCCTCAAAATCTCCATGGCTGGCCCAATGAGAAACTGGAGATGAAAAATTAATCACCACAGACTTGGTATTTCCTTGTACTAGGAACACAGTTTTTATCATCTTGAGCTGTAACTGCTCGTGCCCCTAATCTCTTCAGCTATAAAACAAAACTAATTACTATTTAGTTGACTCTGACTCGTGGCAATCCCATGTGTGTCAGAGTAGAACTGGGTTTTCAAAGACTGATGTTTTTGGACGTAGATCATCAGATCTTTCTTCAAGCAGCCTCTGGGTGGACTCAAATCTCCAACCTTTCAGTTAGGAGCAAACACGTTTACTGCTTGTACCTTCCAGAGACTTCAATCTCTTCAGGTAGACCAGGGTTTCTCAACCTTGGCACTATTGACATTTTGGGTGACGTAATTCTTTGTTGTAGGGTGCCATCCTGTGTATTGTAGGATTAATACAGCGGGATTAATTAGCAGCCTCCTTGGCCTCTACCAACAGATGCCAGCTGCACACATTTCCCCCTCCAGCTGTGACAACCGAAAATGTCTCCAGACATTGCCAAATGTTGCCTGAGGTGCAGAGTTCCTCCAGCCTCCTGGCTGAGAAGAACCACTGAGCTAGGCTGTGTGTGAGCTCGCTGTGGGCACTCAAGAAGGAGCAACTGCCCACCCCTCTATTCCCAAAGCTCACTGGTTTCTCTGAGGCTGTCTGTTTCAATCTTTGATAGTGGACCCAGGAGAGAACATTTCCTCTCTCACATGGGGAGGAAAGAACAAGTGCTTATGATAAGAAAACAAAAGCATTCTTACAATGAGTGCTAGAGTTTAATCACTGAGTAACACATTGCGAATTGGCAACATCTCTAGGGATTTTTTTTTCATGCACAAATTGTAGAAACAGTGTGCTTCACTTCTCAGTCTGTTTTATGGGTGATTGGCATCGCATGTGTTAGCCAAAGCAAACAAACAAAAGACTTGAGGTAACTATAAATTTTACTCACTGTTCAGATCCAAGATTGCCCTTTCCTTGGTGGTGTTGTACTGGCTCAATATATAGTTGATTTGCTTAAAAAAAAAAAAAAATTAAATGAAACTTCCCCTTCTAAGATCCTTATCCTGAATCTAAAATACAGAACATTAAAAAAAAAAAAATTTTACATTTTCTGACACAGAGTTCTTCATACCACTCCAAAACTTATTGACATAAAACATGATTTGTTGTTTCTCGTGATTCTGTGGCTTGGCTATGGGGATGTTCTGGTTGGGGCCGACATGGCTGGGCCAGGTTGGGCCTCTCTCTCTATGTGGCCTCTCATCTTCCAAGTGGCTAGCCTGGACATTTTTATGTGGTGTTCCCAGAGTTCCCAGCAGCAAGAAAGTAAGAGTGGGCACTGCAAAGCCTCCAGAAGCCTAAGTTCAAATCTAGCACAAGGTCATGTTCACTGCAGTCTATGGGTCAACGCAAGTCACAAGGACAACCCAGATTCAGAGGATTAGGAAACAGATTCACCACTTGATGGGAGGAACTACAAAGAATCTGTGACCATTTGTAATCTATCACATTGGACCCGTTTTATTTAGGGGCCATTACTGAGCTGGCCTCTGAAAGGGCTGCTTACCCTCCTGACTACTATGTCTTACAGACCTGTTTCCCCACACCCTCAGCAACACTGAATGTTACCATTTTTAAATAGATATTGCCATTCTTCTCAGTGAAATGTGTGTCACAGTTTAAATTTTCATTTCTCCAATTACTAGAGTAAGATTGGTGTGTTGTTGCTGGGTCGCATTGAGTCGATTCTAACTCATAGCGACCCTATAGGACAGAGTAGAACTGACCCATAGGGTTTCCTAGGCTGTAATCTTTACGCAAGCAGATCGCCAGTCTTTGTCCTGAAGAGCTACTGGGTGAATTCGAACCATCGACCTTTGGCTTAGCAGCTGAGCACTTAACCATTGAGCTACCTGGGCTCCTTAGAGTAAGATTAAACACCTTTTAATATTTTTGGCCAGTTATATTCCTTCTGTAAATTGCTTATTCACATTCTTTGTCCAGTTTTTTATAGATTGCTCCAGCTTTTCATGTATTTTCAACCAGGTCAGTTTCCCCAAAATTGGTAGCAACTTACTATCTTTCCAAGGTTACAAAAGCAATCTCCGACTTTCACCAGCCATGGTTGCTATCTGGCTATTTAACTTTTGCCAACTTTTAAGGAAAAGAAGACTTCCTTTGGAGTCTTTAGAATGACCGGTAAATATATTATGAATTTCTATTCCCAGATTGGGAAAATGAAACATTTTCCTCCGTGAACAAGCTTGAAAATACAAACATGATTCGTTTCTTTATTCTCAATATTTAAAAACAGCTTTTTTTTTTTCTCTCTTTTATTTCCAATCACTTAAAGAAAAAACTAGTATAACATTTAATGTTCTACTACTTGTTTTTGTTGTTAGGTGCCGTCAAGTCAGTTCTGACTCATAGCAACCCTAGGTGCAACAGAAAGAAACACTGCCCTGTCCTGCGCCATCCTCACAATTGTTATGTTTGAGCCCATTGTTGCAGCCTCGACTTGGAAGAACACATCCCCGTGTGAGGGAGCTCGTGGATTCTTGTAGACTTTTTTTAATGAATCCACTAGGAGGGCATCCTCCTCCCCACGTTGGTACCCATGAGCTCAGCATCAGAGATTTGTACTGGGTCCTGCCCAGGCACTTTCTGGATAGATCCACATGGTCTGAAATACAGAAAAATGGTATCCTCCCATCACTGCCCTCCAGCCACCCAGTTCCCTTCCCCAAAAGACAACTTCTGTGTGTTCGTGTGTCTTTTCCAAAGAATTTTACACACATATACGTATATTAGCAAACAGGTGTTGTAAAGCAGAAAGGTTACCAGAATTTTCATTACCACAAAAGTAACTTTATGCAAACAGTGGGGAGTTAACTATATTGCCAAAAAGAAAGGATAATGGGACCCAAAGATTTTCTTTTAAAATAAAAAAAGAGAGACATACTCCTACAATTAAGTACTTTTATCATATGTACTATTATTTCATGTTACATCATTAAATAAAATAATATAAAATAAAAACACCAATCCTGAAAACTATGACTTCCGTACTCTTTTGAAAACCACTTGCTGGGCCTTTATTTCTTCATCTATAATATTAAAAGATAACACCTGTCTACATTGATTTACTGGAGTTCTAGAAGGTCCAAGTGAGGTTTCAGATAAATACTCTGAAAAGTCAAAAAGGCAAAGCATCACGGGATATATAGGTTGTGGTTTTTACCGCTGGCGTTTCATTCAGGAACGTTCGTAAGTCTTTGAAATTGCTGTCTGCCAGTTTCCGAGTCCTTCTGATCTTCGTCCTGAGGTGGTGGTTTGCCACAAAACCATAGATGATGCCAATGCTGTAGGAAAAGGAAAGGAGAAGGAAGAGCATTTACTGTGTGATTCGCGGGAGGGCTGTCTCAGTCAGGTGCCGCCAGGGATTCCTGAGCTCAGCCACAAGCTCCCCCCACCCTGCTGTCTCCTGCTACAGTAAAATTCCACAGTCAACCCACCGCCAAAAAGTGGGCCAGAAACATGACTCAATCATCTCAGAAAAGATGAATATCCATTTCAGATAAATATCCATTTCTGTGTCCCTGGGTGGTGCACAGAGTTAATGCATTCAGCTGCTAACCAAAGGGTTTGAGGTTCAAGTCCACCCGGAGGTGCCTTGGAATAAAGGCCTGGTGATCTGCTTCCAAAAAAACCAGCCATGGGAAACCCTACGGAGCACAGCTCTACTCTGACACACATGGGGTGGCCATGAGTCAGAACTGACTCAACAGCAACTGGTTATTATGTTAAACATGAATCTTATAAATGGAACAATATTCACAAAAAATTGTGGATGAAATAGAAGTTGCAAAGGATATAAGGCAGCGTGTGTAATATAGCCCCAGTCCTGTACAAATGCAAACGATGTATATCCACCCTCATACGTACACCAAACACACCCCATTTGCATACCTCCGTACCCCGCAAATAAGACTACAAGGAAATATAACAAATGATAAGAGTGGCTTGAGTTTGCTAATGCTTTTAGTTTCTGTAATTGTCTCTGTTTGTTTCTGTATTGCCCAGGTTGAAAATAAACATGAATTACTTTGTCATTAAAACGCTATACGAGAAGCCACACACAGAAGAGTATGCTATTATTTCATTTATATAAAATATAAAGTCAAGCAAAATGATGGTGTCAGAAGTCAGTGGTTATGCTAGGGGGAGGGATGGCCAATGATGAAGTGTTCTGTTGCTTGATGGGTAAGTTCACATCGTGGCAATTCACGCACGTGTACTTATGATATGGACACTTTTCCCATGTATAACATACTTCAATAAAAAAGGTCTGAAAATGCCAGATAAAAGGCATCTTGTGTGAAAGGCTACTCTACATGAAAAGTTTAAAAAAAAAAAAACAACCATATTTTCAAGCCATCTAAAATGTCTACATTTAATAATTTTAAAGAGTTATTAATGCTGACTAGTTACTAATAATCCCTTGATTTAAATTAACTCAGCCAATTGGCCTGTCTTTGTCCCAAAGCCTTCAAACATTAAAATCCTAAATTTAAAAATAATTGCCAAGGCCCTACTGGATTTAGCCACTAGATGGCAGCAAGGAATTACAGAAACTCATCTAACAGGTCACTGAATATTTTACCGACAGAAGTTAACACAATTTTTAGTAACCATCCAATGGAAGGTGTGGATATGGTTCTAAAGCAAAGTTATGCAAATAATAGGCAAACTTTGAGGGAAAAAATCTTGATGCAGAAAATAAATACATTGCCTCTTCTGCAAGAGCAATGTTTGTGCTTTGTGCATGCATGTATTTACATTTTGGGTAACTAAGCGGTTTCAGCACTGAAAATCCTGTGTCCCCAGGAAACCTGAGTAAACTTGGACAACTAGTCATCCTATTTACAGTCATTATATATTCCAAGGGGCATTAGCTCATTGCTGGTTCAACTTAAAATATATTTTCCCATAGCACTATCCTGTACATGCATTAGATACTTCAAACTAATCTAATCAATCCTATTAACACTCAACATTGAGTAATATTTCTTATGGTTGAGAATGTGTGCTAGACTTTACTAAGACCAGGAGATCTGAGTTCTAATCCTACTACTGCCACCAACTCTAATGGTGCAAACTTGAGAAGGTCATTTTGCCTCTCTGGGCTTCCGCTGGTGTCTCAAAACTGAAAATTACCGGTAAATTAGATTCTCCTTCTTGAGCAGCAAAGGAGAGGGGTACTGGGTGTCCATAAATGCAGTAAGATTTCTATCTTTTTCAGGTTTGGGTTCATTCTGATGATAAACTTTAAAAAGTGAATATTAACCATCTTTTGTGCCATTTGGAATAGCTTCCTTATAGTCCATTACTGGCTCTCAATTTCAGTCCTAAGTCTGCATTGGAATTTACGAAGCAGACATTACACCACAGCAATAATAGTTATTAAATAATGCACTCATGCCAAGTAAAGGCTAAACAACCCCAAAATAAATAGTTTTGAAGTGCTGGGAACAGAAAAAAAAAAGTTGAGTCATAACAGTGGCACCTGGAGCTTATTCACTATGTTCAACTCAAAACATCTCTATACTATGCTGAGTCAGGGTTATCGCCTGAATATACCGCCCACAACAGGTTTTACCCTGGGGGCCCTCACTCTCTCTCCCCAGCATGCCCAAATTCTTTTTGTCATTCATCAAGCATCAGATCCATGCTGTCACATAAGAAGTCAGAGTGAACTTGGGAAACAAATGCTAAGTCCAAGCCTACTGCTGCTCATCCACCTGGCCTTCACCAACCCATGAATGGGGGAAGAACCTCCTTGTCTTAAACTCCTAGAGGGCTCTCTGAAATTCCGACAGAGTTGTTCTCATTTCAGGAGCCCTGGTGGCTCAGTGGTTCAAGTGCTCAGCTGCTAACTGAAAGGTTAGTGGTTTAAACTCACCAGCTGCTCCACGGGAGAAAGATGTGGCAGTCTGCTTCCATAAAGATTACAGCCTTAGGGATTCTATGGGGTAGTTCTACTGTGTCCTATAGGGTTGCTAGGAGTCAGAATGAACTCGATGGTAACGGGGTTTTTTTGTTTTTTTGTTTGTTTGTTTTTTTGAGTTCTCATTTCATGCTCTATTTTGTTTTTATTTCTATCTATGTTTAATTTCTCCTATGTTGTTGTGAGCCGTTGAGTGGATTCCAACTCCTAGCCACCCTACAGGACAGAGTACAACTGTCCTGTAGGGTTTCCTAGCCTGTAATCTTTACAGGAACAGATTGCTGATCTTTTCTTCCATGGAGTGGTTGGTGGGTTCAAACTGCCAACCTTTTGGTTAGCAGCCGAACTCTTAACCACTGTGCCACCAGGGCTCCTAATTTCCCCTATAACACCTTAAATTAAGAAGAGGCAGAAACTGTTTCCTAGTCAACTTTGTATAACCAACACCAGTTGCCATCAAATCGATTCCCACTCATGGCGATCCCATGTGTGCAGAGTAGAACTGCTCCATAAAGTTTTCAAGGCTGTGACCTTTCAGAAGCAGAATGCATGACCTTTCTTCCGAGGTACCTCTCGGTAGGTTCAAACCGACAACCTTCTGGTTAGTAGTCAAGCCCTTAACCATTTGCACCAATCAGGGACTCCAGTCAACTTTGTGTAACACAGGGTTTCTTGTCCACAGTGGGTGCTCAGTGGAGGTGGGTGTAAGTGTTGGGCTGTGATTTCATCTGGTCCATTTAGAAGACTAGCCAAGGGTTTGGGGTATCTAACTCTGAAACTGCCTTTGTCCTTTTATTCAATAATTGCCTTTACTCACACTGCACGAAGATCATCAATCAGTAAAATGAACTTCAATACAACACTGAATTTCAATGCAACTTATATAAAAAAAGACCTACATTTCTGCTAATCAATAATGCATCCAATTAAAATTACAGCATTGAATTCTGGAATAAAGTTCAGCAATTTTCAGACCCATAACACGTTGTAAATTTTATACGTCCTTAAAAGAAGGATGGCAGATTCAATGCCTAAACGGGTAGACATATGGGGGCTGGGAAACCAAGAGAGCTGCTCTGTAGTTCTTGCCAAGTGCCACCATGATGGAATGCCCACTACTGCCGATCTTCTTCTGATCATTCATAAAAATTTCGAAATCTGCTTTCTTATGTGAAATCTCTCAAGTTTTTAAATGTTAGCGACCAGTTTAAAGAAGAAAACTTTACATACTATGTATAGCAATTGATGGTCTTCATTTAAAATCTCTAATTTAAATCTTCTATTTAAATACAAATAGAGAATAAATAAGTTATGCTTTTGGGAAATAACATTATTTTTGTTGTTGATTAAAAACAAAAATGCTGTTACGTTGCTCCCAACTCATGGAGGGCGACCCCATGTGTGTCAGAGTAGAAGTGAGCTCTATAGGATTTTCAATGTTGATTTTTCAAAAGTAGATCACCAGGCCTCTCTTCCAAGGTACCTCTTGGGTGGACTCAAACCACCAACCTTTTTGTTAGCAGCTGAGTGCATTAACTGTTTGCACCACCCAGAGACTCTGTTGTTGATTTAAAGACTTCTTATTTGGTTTCAAAGCCCTGGTGGCACAGTGATTAAGAGCTTGGCTGCTAACCAAAAAGTCAGCAGTTCGAATCCACCAGCTGCTCCCTGGAAACCCTATGGGGCAGTTCTACTCTGTTCTATAGGGTGGCTATGAGTCAGAACCGACTCCACAGCAATGGGTTTGGTTTGTTTGTTGTTTTTTTGTTTGTTTCAGTATTGCTTAATGTATTTTTTAAGCCAAAACAAACACATGAATTAATGTTTTTGTTTTTTCAACAACCAACGATCAACTATTAGGATATGAGGATACCGAGGGAAATTTATCCAACACCAAAAGGGATTAAACTCCAATGAATATCAGTTTTGGGGCATTTGACATAATGCCTTTAAGCTATCAACGTGCTTTTACGCAGCACAACTAAATCTCTTGCAATTTTTTTTTAAATCTCTTGCAATTTTTAGCAAGATAGGAATTATTATTTTTGTGGCATATTAACATTATATCTTCTACATTTTATTATGGACAAAACCAATTTATATTTTAAAATAAATACTCAAAGGAAAAAAGTCTAAACCTTTCAAATTTGTAGCTAATTTCCTTCTACAACTTCTACTAACTTGATGAAATAAGCAAATGAAAGCCAAATAAATGCTCTCAGTCTGTAACTTATCTCTTGTTTTTTAAAAGATATTTTTTTAAAAACTTAAATTGTAAATAAACTACCTCTCTCATTCACCTTAAGAAAGTCTCATAATTTTCAGGCATGTTCTAGCTCAATTTCTTTTCTAGAA